TCAAATATATATATTATTAATAATAGGTTCAATAATTCAAATTTAAATCAATCTTTTATTTATGTATCAAAATAACAAAGTTTTATTTCATTTAGACCATAGTTAGAGGAAGTTCCACCCATCTCAAAAATGGACCATTGTCTGTTTCAAGATCTAATTCATTGAGGAAAGAAAATTCATCAGATATGCTTAGTGAATGCCAAAATCATAAATCATCTTTAAACAAAGAATGTATGGAATCTTCTCATAGTCATCATCACCATCACCATCATCACCATATGTATCATCCTATCGAACTCCATCCCATCTGTCATTGTGCAAGTTTTAATGACAGACACGAAATAAATTCTGTATATCATGATAATTATTTGGCCAGTAGAAGACATAATTCTAGTGAAGATTATTTAAAGGGAAGTGTTTCGGAACACGAATTAAAAAGCTGTGTGTCTCATAAACATCGTTTGTATGATTATGATAATACTCAATACTTGGACAGAAACAATTCTAAGTCCCATTTAAATAATGAAGGTGCTAATTTAGAAAGGAAAAAATTTGATAAAATGTGTGACAGTAAAGACAGCTTTAATAGTATTGGTTTACCGTTGTATGTTTCATCAAACACATATCCACCATTTAAGAGTAAAGCATTATCGTGCCAAGTTAAAAAGAAAATAGATGTGAGTAATTTTATAATTTTGTACTGTATTTCTTTGATATTTTTAATATTTTTTTATTTAATGTATAATATTAATAGATTAATGGATATAAAAACATTGAGTTTCTTTACTTAGAAAATGAATGGAAATCTTTTAGGATATCAGAAAATCAAACAATTAATAGTTTCATAAGCTATCACCTACTATAATTGATGAGTGCAATATAAACTAATTTGGATTATGATAAAAACAAACATAACCAGTATATAAGTAGCACTGCTCCTTTCCTAAGAAAGTTACTGTTGGTACACATATATGGTGAAATTGAACATATAGAATTGTTACCGAGTAACTGACAGTACTACATACTGGTTATCGATATTTAATGCTGTCTGCTGGTATGCTGAACTGGTACATTCCAGCTAAAAAATAGCCTTGGTAATTAATATAAACATTATTTTTTAAATTGAACATACAAATGACTACTTAATGTTATCATTGAAGTATGAATCTGAAAATGGCTACTCAAAGTTTAGAATGTATTTCAGGAGTAAAGTTTACTCTTCTTTATATAAAATATTAGTGTTACAAAGTTTAAATCAAATAGAAAAATTTGATCTTGATTATGGCATATTATTGAATGATAAGATTCTAAATTTTGCAAATTACTGTAAAGATGTACAATTTAGATTTTGACTTAATTCTTAAAAGGAATTTTTAAAATTTGTCTTGTTCTACTTTTATATTGTAAAATTGCAAAAACAGTTTAACATTTAAAAATTTTAAAATTAAAACAAGGAAGAAAAAGATGATTTTGGTCTAATATTCAATATTAGTTTTGAAATATATTTAATCAATTTTTTACAGAAATTCAAGATGGTATATTCTTTTTATTTATTTTCACTGTATATGATTGTGAAATAAATTTTAGAATATAAATTATTCCTGGATATCAAGATTTTTGAGTTTTTCGCTGATGATTTTTCTACACTAAGGATTTTTCACTTCAGAAAATTGTAGAGGTGAGGGAATATCAACAAAACCTTTCATATTGCTTTGAATATAATCTTCAAATATATGAATAGAAACTAAAATTTTTGCACTGCAATTTTACTCAGTTTTTTTATGCACTGTAGAATTCCACACTAATTTTTATTTTATTATAAAATGCATTTAAAATTTTTAATTTTGTTTGTTATTTTTTTAATAATATACTGTTAAATTTTAACATAATTCTTTTCATTGTTAATGTATTTTTAGATATTTCAATTAAGTTTTACTGACAGAAATATTGTATTTTCAGTAATAAAAAATAAAATTTTTTTCTTTACTTTTACATTTCAGAAACAATAATTGATATGACAATGATGCTAACATTCTATTTTGAATGTTAAACAGTCCAAAACTGAAAAAGTTTTCCTTTAAAAAGATGTGAAGACAAATATGACTATTTTAATTCTTACACTTCAACTTCTCATATTCCTCTTGCATAATTTTATCTCCATCTCAACACATGAAGATAGAAAATGAATTTATCTATGTTCATTTTTAAAAGTTTTTGCAAATTCTTTTAAAAATGTTATCATTGAAGTATGAATCTGAAAATGGCTACTCAAAGTTTAGAATGTATTTCAGAGCAAATACATATATGAGCAAAATATGGGGAAAGGTTCCTCAGAGGCTCATTACACATTTGCCATCTTTTTCTAACTGTCAGTTCGATTCAAATCTTGGCCATTGGCTTCTGATGTTTCTGTTATAATGTCCAGTTGTAGCCAATTGCTTTCGCCTGCTTCTCCAAAAGCACCAAGTAGGAAAGAGAGCACTTTTGTCAACCGTTAGTCCTTATATACCGTCCTGTTTCCCCGCTGGGTTCATTGCCCCTCCAGGCCTTAACAGGTGATGGAATATTCGGGAAACTTACAAACAAAAGGCTTTGTGTCCGATAGTTGAATAATACACATATAAAATGACGAGAGATTTCACAAAGGTTAGAAGTTAGGCTGGATGGCCAAGCGGTCAAGGTGGAAGCCTACCACTCTGGGAGACCCAGGTTCAAATCCGGATGGTTGATAAATCCCCAGGAATTTTTCAGGAGGTGGTCCATTTGGATATGTCAGGCCCCATCCCTCATCACCTGGCTGCCCCATTGTAGGCCTGGTCGAACTCTTAATGGGCTTGCTAAAATAGGTTCTCTTAGTGCCCACAGGGCAGAAAGAGTTAAAAAAAAAAAATCCAAGCAGTTGAAAAACTCCAAAAAATTTTTCATGGGCAGTCTGTCAGTGCTGTCCCTCACCAATTGGTGAGGGACAGCACTGACAGACTGCCCATGAAAAATTTTTTGGAGTTTTTCAACTGCTTGGATTTTTTTTTTTTAACTCTTTCTGCCCTGTGGGCACTAAGAGAACCTATTTTAGCAAGCCCATTAAGAGTTCGACCAGGCCTACAATGGGGCAGCCAGGTGATGAGGGATGGGGCCTGACATATCCAAATGGACCACCTCCTGAAAAATTCCTGGGGATTTATCAACCATCCGGATTTGAACCTGGGTCTCCCAGAGTGGTAGGCTTCCACCTTGACCGCTTGGCCATCCAGCCTAACTTCTAACCTTTGTGAAATCTCTCGTCATTTTATATGTGTATTATTCAACTATCGGACACAAAGCCTTTTGTTTGTAAGTTTCCCGAATATTCCATCACCTGTTAAGGCCTGGAGGGGCAATGAACCCAGCGGGGAAACAGGACGGTATATAAGGACTAACGGTTGACAAAAGTGCTCTCTTTCCTACTTGGTGCTTTTGGAGAAGCAGGCGAAAGCAATTGGCTACAACTGGACATTATAACAGAAACATCAGAAGCCAATGGCCAAGATTTGAATCGAACTGACAGTTAGAAAAAGATGGCAAATGTGTAATGAGCCTCTGAGGAACCTTTCCCCATATTTTGCTCATATATGTATTTGCTCTGAAATACATTCTAAACTTTGAGTAGCCATTTTCAGATTCATACTTCAATGATAACATTAAGTAGTCATTTGTATGTTCAATTTAAAAAATAATGTTTATATTAATTACCAAGGCTATTTTTTAGCTGGAATGTACCAGTTCAGCATACCAGCAGACAGCATTAAATATCAATAACCAGTATGTAGTACTGTCAGTTACTCGGTAACAATTCTATATGTTCAATTTCACCATATATGTGTACCAACAGTAACTTTCTTAGGAAAGGAGCAGTGCTACTTATATACTGGTTATGTTTGTCTTTATCATAATCCAAATTAGTTTATATTGCACTCATCATGAGGGACAGCACTGATGTATTCAAGACAGACTGCCCATGAAAAATTTTTTGGAGTTTTTCAACTGCTTGGATTTTTTTTTTTTAACTCTTTCTGCCCTGTGGGCACTAAGAGAACCTATTTTAGCAAGCCCATTATGAGTTCGGCCAGGCCTACAATGGGGCAGCCAGGTGTTGAGGGATGGTGCCTGACATATCCAAATGGACCACCTCCTGAAAAATTCCTGGGGATTTATCAACCCATCCGGATTTGAACCTGGGTCTCCCAGAGTGGTAGGCTGCCACCTTGACCGCTTGGCCATCCAGCCTAACTTCTAACCTTTGTGACAATTGCTCGTCATTTTATACGTGTATTATTCAACTATTGGACACAAAGCCTTTTGTTTGTAAGTTTTCCGAATATTCCATCACCTGTTAAGGCCTGGAGGGGCAATGAACCCAGTGGGGAAACAGGACGGTATATAAAGACTAAGGATTGACAAAAGTGCTCTCTTTCCTACTCGGTGCTTTTGGAGAAGCTGGCGAAAGCAATTGGCTACAACTGGACATTATAACAGAAACATCGGAAGCCAATGGCCGAGATTTGAATCAAACTGACAGTTAGAAGAAGATGGCAAATGTGTAATGAGCCTCTGAGGAACCCTTCCCCATATTTTATTTTTATACAGTAGACTAATCTTGTAAATAATTTCACAGATCAGAAAAATATATAACTGTAACAAAAACTGAACAAATGATTGTAATGGGAATGAAGAATACTGTAAATTTTGGATAGCCTCTGAACATTGTACAAGAATTGGATTTTATCTCAAACCAACTTCATGTTGAGGAAATAAAACTTACAGCCTAACTATTTCAATTATCCAGCCATCTTATTAATAATATTAAGATTAGCCCTATAAAGATATTTCAACATCTGATTTTTTACTAAAATCTATAAAATATGAAGAGAAGTCCACCAAAATTTGGCTCCTTTATTCACTTCTACATTACACAGAAACATTTAAAATAACAATGATGCCAATCTTTCATTGTACTACATAACCCTTTGGTGATGAAGTGTTTGAAAGAAATTTCTTTTAAGAATTTGCAAAAACTTTTAAAAATGAACATAGATAAATTCATTTTCTATCTTCATGTGTTGAGATGGAGATAAAATTATGCAAGAGGAATATGAGAAGTTGAAGTGTAAGAATTAAAATAGTCATATTTGTCTTCACATCTTTTTAAAGGAAAACTTTTTCAGTTTTGGACTGTTTAACATTCAAAATAGAATGTTAGCATCATTGTCATATCAATTATTGTTTCTGAAATGTAAAAGTAAAGAAAAAAATTTTATTTTTTATTACTGAAAATACAATATTTCTGTCAGTAAAACTTAATTGAAATATCTAAAAATACATTAACAATGAAAAGAATTATGTTAAAATTTAACAGTATATTATTAAAAAAATAACAAACAAAATTAAAAATTTTAAATGCATTTTATAATAAAATAAAAATTAGTGTGGAATTCTACAGTGCATAAAAAAACTGAGTAAAATTGCAGTGCAAAAATTTTAGTTTCTATTCATATATTTGAAGATTATATTCAAAGCAATATGAAAGGTTTTGTTGATATTCCCTCACCTCTACAATTTTCTGAAGTGAAAAATCCTTAGTGTAGAAAAATCATCAGCGAAAAACTCAAAAATCTTGATATCCAGGAATAATTTATATTCTAAAATTTATTTCACAATCATATACAGTGAAAATAAATAAAAAGAATATACCATCTTGAATTTCTGTAAAAAATTGATTAAATATATTTCAAAACTAATATTGAATATTAGACCAAAATCATCTTTTTCTTCCTTGTTTTAATTTTAAAATTTTTAAATGTTAAACTGTTTTTGCAATTTTACAATATAAAAGTAGAACAAGACAAATTTTAAAAATTCCTTTTAAGAATTAAGTCAAAATCTAAATTGTACATCTTTACAGTAATTTGCAAAATTTAGAATCTTATCATTCAATAATATGCCATAATCAAGATCAAATTTTTCTATTTGATTTAAACTTTGTAACACTAATATTTTATATAAAGAAGAGTAAACTTTACTCCTGAAATACATTCTAAACTTTGAGTAGCCATTTTCAGATTCATACTTCAATGATAACATTAAGTAGTCATTTGTATGTTCAATTTAAAAAATAATGTTTATATTAATTACCAAGGCTATTTTTTAGCTGGAATGTACCAGTTCAGCATACCAGCAGACAGCATTAAATATCGATAACCAGTATGTAGTACTGTCAGTTACTCGGTAACAATTCTATATGTTCAATTTCACCATATATGTGTACCAACAGTAACTTTCTTAGGAAAGGAGCAGTGCTACTTATATACTGGTTATGTTTGTTTTTATCATAATCCAAATTAGTTTATATTGCACTCATCAATTATAGTAGGTGATAGCTTATGAAACTATTAATTGTTTGATTTTCTGATATCCTAAAAGATTTCCATTCATTTTCTAAGTAAAGAAACTCAATGTTTTTATATCCATTAATCTATTAATATTATACATTAAATAAAAAAATATTAAAAATATCAAAGAAATACAGTACAAAATTATAAAATTACTCACATCTATTTTCTTTTTAACTTGGCACGATAATGCTTTACTCTTAAATGGTGGATATGTGTTTGATGAAACATACAACGGTAAACCAATACTATTAAAGCTGTCTTTACTGTCACACATTTTATCAAATTTTTTCCTTTCTAAATTAGCACCTTCATTATTTAAATGGGACTTAGAATTGTTTCTGTCCAAGTATTGAGTATTATCATAATCATACAAACGATGTTTATGAGACACACAGTTTTTTAATTCGTGTTCCGAAACACTTCCCTTTAAATAATCTTCACTAGAATTATGTCTTCTACTGGCCAAATAATTATCATGATATACAGAATTTATTTCGTGTCTGTCATTAAAACTTGCACAATGACAGATGGGATGGAGTTCGATAGGATGATACATATGGTGATGATGGTGATGGTGATGATGACTATGAGAAGATTCCATACATTCTTTGTTTAAAGATGATTTATGATTTTGGCATTCACTAAGCATATCTGATGAATTTTCTTTCCTCAATGAATTAGATCTTGAAACAGACAATGGTCCATTTTTGAGATGGGTGGAACTTCCTCTAACTATGGTCTAAATGAAATAAAACTTTGTTATTTTGATACATAAATAAAAGATTGATTTAAATTTGAATTATTGAACCTATTATTAATAATATATATATTTGAACATTTTAATAAAATGTCTGTAAAATAACAATAATATCAAAAACAGAACATACAGCAATCTTTCAAAATATTTTTGAAAATAAATCTTATTCTGTAATGAAAATTTTATAAAATTTAATTTTATTTAATTTTATTTTTCTGTAATGAAGCTGTTTATGTCAATGAATAGTGACGAATTGGTCAACTTAACATCGTATAGTCTTAGCAATACTTGTTTGGATATGAGAATAAAAGACAAATGATTTCCTTCACAAATGCAAAGCTATCATATATGCTTAAAAAGGATATGTCAGATAATCTGCCTAAATACTAGAAGAGGAGGAGACAAATTTCCTTAGAGGATTCAGGCAGCTAAATAAATCTGCCATCCTCTTCAATAAGGTGACCAATCATCCTCGTTTTGTAAGTTCTGTCCTCCCTCGGAAAGTGTCCTCCTACATGTCCTCCTTTTTGATATTTGAAGATTAATCTGTAAATCTTTGTATTCGATCAATGCCGAACTGATTCGTTGCATGTGATGTGATATGACGTGTTTGTATTTAACATGACAATTCATCAAGGCTCTGCACAGTGTGACGAGATGCAATTATGAGACGCATGCTCTTTGCACAGGAGACCTTGAGAGAGAGAGAGAGAGAGAGAGAGAGAACGTGCAAATGGCTTTGTTTACTTCTTATCGAAACATGACATGGCACCTATGCATGCAGTAGAGATTATTATAGTGTATTATTGTTGCAATGAATAAAATGTTTTTTATTTATGATATTTTTTCCTTCAATTTATTAGTGTCCTCCTTTTCATTGTAAAAAAGTTGGTCACCTTATCTTCAAGGAAATTCAAAACCTTATGTGAAACTCTTTCAGAGTGCCATTAACCTCCTATAAAAGTCTCACATTTGGTTACAAATTTCCTTGAAAAAGAGAATATTCACAGGTCAGAGTGCTCTCTGGACCTAAACTTGAATGATCATGTCTGGGATGCTCTGGAGAGGGCTATTTCACCATGTCAGTCCCCTCCCAAAACCTGCCATGAGCTAAAATCAGCTCTCAAAGCCTTCTCCAGAATCTCATCAACAGTATAACTGCTCATTGTAGGTTCTATATAGCTATCAGGGTGAGCACACTTCTTATTACCTTTCTTTTTTTTCTATAGGATCTGCTACATCATATTTTAGGTACTCTCGCCAAAACAAGTATATCTCTAAAAATTACTTTTTGTTTTCATTTTATATGATTAAATCATCATGGCATGAAAAGTCTGTGTACAAAATTTTATCCCTGTTCATCAAATACTTTTCCAGATATCCTACAATTTGTGTTTGTTGCCCTTAATGATTTTATTCTTAATTTTGAGTAATTGCTTATTTTTAAAATATTGCCTCCTATTTCTGTATAAACTTTTTCAATTTTATGAAATGTTACATTTAAATTTTTAAAGAAAGCAGAATCTGCTTTGGACACAGTAGAATCTATTTATTGTAATCACTTTGGAACTTTCCTATACTGATGATGATAACTGACTGATAACATAAGCAAGGTAAATAAATAAAACTTACAATTAGTAGAAATTCTCATTTTATTGACTGGCACTAAAAGTACATGTTAAAACAATTTAAAATTGTATTGCTTAAAAATTTATTAATAGTAATTAATTATCCAATATATTAAAACAAGAAATAATGACTGTTTATCAGTGTTATACAGTTTTATTTTAACTAATACATCTACAACAGCCGTAAATGATCGGGCTATATTTTAATATAGCCTGATCATTTATGGTTGTTGTAGATATATTAGCTTAAGGTATAGGATTTCAATGGCCATGTATATTTTTATTTTAACATCAACACAAGCACCTTTGACATTTTATCAATGTCATCTTCAGATAAAGAATGTAACTTTGGAACATTATGATAAAATGTTAAAAGTGCTTGCAATAATGTTATAATAAAAACTGTTTAATGCCAATAGACAGTAGTTATTTCTTGTAAATATATACTTGCTTAAATGGAGACTAAAATTAATAGTATAAAAAAAAACCAGTCAAAAGTCCAGCATCCATTCATAATTCCAGCATTAAAGAATTATGCTGGACCTTTTGAATGGTTTTTTTACATTATTGTTATTTCTTGTTTTAATGGATAATATTTTGGTATAGCAATTTAATCATTTTATAATTATCCAACATATAACTTCTGTAAAAGCACACTGAAAACTATAATTTTCTTAGTTTTATTAGAATGTAATATCCTAAGGTTTTCTTACAAAATTATATTTCAAACTAAACAAAAGTAAAACAGCAAACAATCTAACATTTAATTTGTTTTGTTACATCATTTGATGTGATGACTACAATATAGTCATTACATCAATAGTAGCTCATGGCTGAGGATGCTGAGAAATAGCAGCATAACTAGAACAGATATCAGGGAGGCCCAAGTTAGAATGTGCAAACTTACATTCACTCTTATACCACTGTGGAGATAACCACTATTAAACTTTTAGATAATGTATATATAGAACACTTAGCACACATTTGAATATTTCTTTTCTGTACATATCTGATTTTTCATCTATTTATTTATTTACAAAGGTAAGAGAGTTCAGACTTCCCTGGTTATGCTATAGCTGAGTAACTACTACTGTTTTACATAATAAATAATATATCAATACTGGATTTGGCCATTGAAAAATGTACATTAACTCTTTAAATGGTAACTTTGTCATCGATGCTTACTAAAAATTACTCAAAAATTGAAAAATATATCTCTATCAGACATGAAAACAACCATAATAAATTCCAGTAAACGTTTCATGAAAATTGACAAACGTTTATGACATAACTTAATGTTAGAATGCCTGTACATTCTAACATTAAATGTCAAATTCTAACATTCAAATGTCAAATTCAGCAGGTTTAAGATTTATAACCTGAAGCATGCCTATTAACAAAATCAAAAATGTTTGTCAATTTTCACTAAAAGTTTACTGGAATTTAATACAGTTGTCTTTGTGTATGCTAGATGTTGATGCTCTAACATTCAGAATTCATACTTTTAATTTTGAAATTATATTTTTTGTTTAAACGTAGTGATTCTGTAAACTATATTTTGAATCTTTATAAATATTCCTACATTCCTTATGAAATACTAGCTTAAACTTAAAACATTTAAACTTGTATTACAGTGTATTTGGAGTTACCGTACTTAAGTACTTAAACACCAATTTACACATATATTTGAAAATCTAGTCAAACTTAAAATTTGGATGGGGTCTGACAAGTCTGGATTTTTGACACTTTATTGTATTTTTAATTTAATTAAAATAATGTGGAATCTTAGTTAACTGGTGTTCTACTGTAATAAATATTCACCTCTATTTATATCAAGTTATTTCCTAATTTATTAATGTTACAATACAAATAATTCAAACAATTTTGCTAAATTATATATAATTTTTATTAGTGTTTAAAAGTTTTCTCAGTTTTAAAAATTTAATTATTAAAAGTTTAAAGATAATTTTTTTATATAATGTAAATAATATATTTTACTTTTTAAAGTTTGTTTTTACCATAAAATAAATATTTATGATGATAAATATAATCCTTTACTAATTGTATGTATGTATTGTTTAGATGCTTTAATGGCTTTTTAAAAATAAAATTTGAAATTCATGTTAATGATTAAACAATATATACGTACATGTAGTTTTATATCCATCATTTCTGTAGGAGTTATACAAGACGGATCGATAATGGGTTTTGGTCTATCTTGTTGCGATGGAATTAGACTCGCCCACTGCGGCGGCAACCCAACAAACTTGCGTTCCTTCTCATCAAATCCAGTATGCACTCTGTGCTCAAAATTTATTGGAGCAGATATGACAGGCCTTTTCTTTTTTCTACTAAACATGATTGAAAGACTGAAAAAATATTCATTATTATTAAAATAAAAACACTTATTTGTTCTATATTTAAATAATTAAAATTGCTTTTTATAATAAGTTATTTTGATTAAATAAGATTATTGTGCATTAATTATAGATTTCATTAATAAATAAATATCTAATTACTGGCAAAAAAGTTTATTTCTTTATCATTAATTTTTTCAAAAAAATTATTTTAATAATGAAAATATTTAAAATTTTGCACCATATTTAATAAAAAGTAAAAGTACAGCTAAATTAACACAACCAAAAAGTTTTTAGTGTGTTTTTGAACTATTTGATAAGTCTGAAAATACATCAACAACTTAAATAAATAAATATATAGTCTGACTATTTATTTATTTATTTATTGTAACATTTTTTAAATTTAATTTATCTCTGGAATGCCTGAGAACTCTGCATTTGATTCCAAAACACATATGAACCAAAGCCAGACTGTGAAATTTCCCAAAAACATTTCGTGCATATCAAAAATTTTTCCATTTCCCTAATTTAGATATACTTAAGTTTTATTTTATATTATTATTTTAACAATTTAAAAACTTTGAATATCTACAATTAAAAATTGCATTATTATCCAAAATTATTACTTCTTTTAAATGCAAAACTATTAACTAAAACAGAAAATTCCAATCTTCCTTTAAGAAGACCTATTAATAATACTGCTTAAATTATAAAATATACATTAAAGTTATTCTTGATGTATTTCCAAAGTAATTAGTAAATGATAACTAAAATTTCTGATAGTAAATATTTGAAATTAAGTAGAAAGAAGTCCCAGTTTATTCTTTATTATATTGTTTCAATGAAAACAGACAAATAACGAACTGTTTTAGTTCTTCACTGGTTTTAATAACATTTTTGGAGAAATCATAATAATTGTTATTGATATCATTAAATTTAAAATTAGGATTTAATCTATACGTTAAATATATAAATTTTATATTAAATGTTAAAAATAAATAAAAATTTGAATAAATGAATAAAGAAAATAACATAACAGTAGACAGAAACAATAAAAAGCAAGTGTAGTGCAAGTGGTAGTATTATAAAAAGCAAGTAGACATTCTGATAACTCTAGGATAAAAATAAAGAATAATATTAATTATGAATGGATTCAAATATATTACATATCTAGGCATGGAAATAACTTTTATATGAAGTTTTCTAAAGTGTTGATATTACATAGAAGAATTTTACACATTTGACAGATTGAATTTTAAAAATTTAAAAGTACACTCTTTAAAATCCCTATGTACAGTCACAATACATCTCATAAAAATTAGAAATTATCTGTGTAATCAGTGTAAGACAGACTATTTTAATTCGTTATAACTTAATCATATTTTCACAAAGCAGTGTTTTTCAACCTTTTTCTCATTGTAGACCAATAATTCAAAAAACATTTAAGGTTAAAATATTTGACTTTCTTATTACTGATGTTACGATTATGTTAATTTAAAATTAAATTACTTATTCCAGTATTATACACTGGAATAATTTTAATTTAATTTAAAATTAATTTTAAAAAATGCTTTTTGCCAAAAAATGCTTTTTTAAAAAATAATTACAGTATATCCATTATGCAACTAATGAAAGTTATAAATTATTTTTTAAGTATAATATTTATTGAAAAAATTTGGCAAAGTAGCAAAATTTTAAGCTTGAAAAATAACTATCATTAATGACTGACTAGGAATTTGATAACAGGAAATAAAACGGCGTAGTAAACACTAGTATTGTGTTTTATTCCAAAGACACATGGCAAATTTTCCATCAAATTCCTTTATTAGTTGAGTAAAGGAATTTGATGGAAAATTTGCCATGTGTCTTTGGAATAAAACACAATACTAGTGTTTACTACGTCACAAATATAAAACAGGACACGGTTTCAAAAAACAAAAGGAAATAAAACTATAAGGATAAAAAAAAAATAAATCTTTCAACTTGTATGACAACATTGCTTACATCAAATTACATTAAATATGTAGATAATATGAAAATATTTAATAAAATCCTCTGAAACATATTAAACAATTTTTAGGAGACAAATCAATTTAATTATATTAGTTAATTTAATATATAATAGAATTATGTTAATATTTAATACAATTAAAAGTTTGTCAAATAATGCATTGATCACAAATGTTGCAAAATGACAGATATTAAATCACAATTATTTGTTTTGATATTTGAAAATTTAATTAACAGTAATAAATTATAAATAAATAATCAGATCCTTCTCACTTTGAAACATGAATGATCCATTTTGATAACAAAATAAAATTTAATTGCCAAAACTATTCAAATTATTTTAAGTGTAATTATGAACAAGTTGAATTCTAAAAGTTTAAAACTTATTTATGCTAATACTTTTGAAGATTCTTAATCTCCATAATCAGAATCTTAAAAAACAGATCAATATTCACATTTAGTGTTATGCATTATAATAAAACTTGTTACGGAAAGGTTCAATAAGCAAAAATTTTAACAGTAAAGAAATAAAGTTATAAAAATACTTTCAGTTAAAGCATCCAACATTGTCTTAAATAGTTTTGGGAATTTTATCATTAAAGCACACAAAATATAATTCAAATTCATTTTTTGATTCATATACATTTGATTTGATACATAATACGAAATGTCAGGTCAATACATAAATTCATAATGTTAATACAAACTTTTAACATTATATAGGAGAGATTATGTAAATTATATAGGAAAATTATATTTAAAAAAAAAGTTTTAAATCATTTCATTAATTTAAATTAATCAAATAATATTTTAACTTCTATTTTCTATAATTTGTTAAAAAGCAATTTTAATGTATTCAAACAGAAATTTTCTATAGAGAAAAAACTTAATTTAAAAGTTCATATCTTTTTATATTACATTGAATTGTTTATTTAAAGTAAAGGAATAAAGTTATTATTTTACTTTATTACTTCAGCTATTTTACTATAAATAACATACATTATTTACAGTAAAGTAATAAAGTTTAATTTTAGAAACTGAAATTGTAAAGCACGGTTTCATATCATCAAAATGAAATTTTTTCCTTATAAAAGTAATCCTATTTATTGCAGTTCAAATCAATCAGATATTATTCATTTAAAAACAGTTGCTACACTTTCACTTTATCTGAAATTTATTAATCAAATTTTTAAAGTTAAAAAAAACTCATCTGTACTACCATTAACCATGCAAAATACAATACCTAACCTTAAACCATTCATCAAATCTGCATTCACATAATTGTTTACATATTTTGCATTGTATTCATCTCAAGTAATACACAATAAATGAATAAATAATAAAACAATCTGCAAATAGTAGCATCCATTGACTTACTAAACAATGACCCTATAAAAATACTTTTAATATTTGATTACTTCTTGTTCTTTCATGTTCTTTGGGAGTAAGCACAAAATTGCTATGTAGAGCTTATCACACAGGAACACTTTTTGTTGAATAATATAGACTTTATACAACAATTAAAATGCATTTCAGGCTATTTGCCCTTGCAGTCCTTATTGTACAATTTGATAAAACCAAAATGATATTTAATAGTGACTGTTGGAGTAACTAAGTATTTTAAAACAAAGGAAGTGGTGCATCATCCTGTGGCAAAAATGGCAATTGCCCAGGGCCCCTGCCAACAGGGAGCCCCACAACTGATCTTTTATACGAAAATAACTTCCCAAAAAATGCCCTGAAGAAAAATATCTGAAGTCAACACTGTACATAGGCCTCCTAATTCAAATTCACCTGGGCCTCAAGAAGCTATAATGCACCACTGAACAAAGGGGAGAAAACAAGTAAAACTGTAAAACATAAAAGTTAAGACTTGATAAAAAAGCAAGAGAAAAAAACACAAAAACTTTAAAAATTAATCAATAAAACCACTAGAAGTAATCATAATAACATATAAAAGCTTTACTTACATTTGAATTATTTATAAAAGTATAGCTAAAAGATTACTCATTTATTCATTCACATATAAATTTTTTAAGTATAAAAAAAACACTTATTTAATTCTATATGTGAATAATTAATTCTAACAACAGCATGTACTTAATATTTTACATTTAAAAAAATATATTATTCATTTTTATGTTATGGTATATATAATTATTTATCTTTGTGTAAGAGATGCCATAACTCGTCTCTGGTAAATGCCATAGCGTTGCATGGACTGTAAAGGGCCTGTATATAATAATAATATCGAATATGAATGCTAATAAAAACTGATGACTCAATAATAATATATTTCTATACGTAAAATCATTCTACTAAACAATATATAATTTATATATACACGTACATAAGTTTCATTCATCGACTACTCAAGAAAATTTTCCTTTTTGACACATTTCCAACTTTTGATTATCACGTGTACATTTTACATGCGCTTTAAAGTTTATTTTCACTACTGGAACCCCTCTAGCGTCGAAATATCACCTCTTCAAATAAGGAAAAAAAATTTAATGACCATTTTAAATCAAGTAAATCGCTTTAAAACATTTATTTTAATTTATAATTTATAAAAGTATAAACTAAAATTTTATTATTTATCTTAAAAAGTTTATTTGTAATTTACTATTTTTTTTAAATCTTTGTACTACATAATGGTTAATTTTAATTAAGCAAACTATTTTATATTTAAACATTTTAAAAATGTTTTATTAATTATATAATATTTTCTGGTAAATAATTAAATATGGCAGTTACGCCGTTGCTATGACTCCCGAGTAAGCATTAGTTCTAAATTATGCCGCTATGGTGAGCAGCGCCAATCGCGGCAACTGGATTTGGATTGGTTTCGGGTCGTAGTTATAAGCCTTGTCATTTGTTTATCGTACTGGCAACGTTGTTGAACTCGTTATACGTTAAATAAAATAGAATGTAGTGAGTGTTGTTTAAAATATAGCCATAGACATAATTTAAACATTTTCTCAACGCCAACTGTTAACGAAGCTCCGACACAAATTCTGTTGCCGCTATCGGCGCTGTTCGTCCTAGCGGTATATATTCGAACTAATGCTTACTCGGTAGTTATTCTTGTGTTGCTATGGCGACGATGCTGTTGTGTATACGTTAGGCTTAGGAATTGCGTTGTCGTGTGTGAAAAGTCTATGGATAAGCCTCAAGTTATCGTTCACATTCAAAAGTCGTTAGATATTACACTTTTTGATACAAAATGGATTCCTTGTAGCGCTAAATTTGTTGTTTTAGGAAGTCATTGCCGTGGAACTGGCGCTTTAGAAGTGTACGAATTATCCGGAACTGAATTAAATTTAGTGACAAAGGTAATGATCTGGTGCAAATGTAGGTCTAAATCAGGCGGTTGGGGACCTTATCAGAGCTGTAGACGGTGTCCCTAGGAATAAAAAAAAAGTCAAAGGAATCGTCTGAGTGTCCAAAATTTGAATGGGGGTAAAAATTGGGGGAGTCTAAACTTTGGGGGATCAAATTTAGAAGTCTAAACTTTTGGGGGTCCAACACCTTATTCAGAACTAGTCTTATGATGATCTTTGTTAGAAGTTATCTTCAGATACTTTGTTTATGCACTTGTATATACAGAAGGTAACTTCTGCTTAATCTTTAAATATATACAAATACAGTGATACCTCAACTTACGCGAACCTGGAGTTACGTGATTTTCAAATCTTGTCGATTTGTCTTTTGTTTTTGCACCACACAACTCTTGATTACTCATTCCCTCCACACTATTGCCCAACTTACATGTTCGGACATGTCGCGCAGAATCGACACATATCTACAATTTATTTTGTGTTATTTATTTCTGTGTTTGTTATATCTACGGAGACTCGAGAGACTCTATGTGGTGATTTCTTGTAACAATGAACTAATCAAAAGACGAGATAAGATTAACGAGAACATTTATTAGCTTACATACATCNTAAGAAATGTTTAGGAGCCTATAGGAAAGAATACAAATCTGAATGGTATGATAATAAGTGTTACAACTATAAAATCAAAAAACAAAAAGTTTAAAAAAAATTCAGAAAACTAAATACCGAAGAGTCGTTAAAGAAATAATTAGAAAATAAAAGGACATATAACAATTTAATCAAGGTGAAAAAGAAGATTTATTATTCAAATATTAGTAAAAAGCTAATTGAATCAAAGGATTCTAGAGTATTTTGGTTAATAGTTAATAGATTCCTAGAGTCGAAATCAGTAAATAGAGTAACAAAAAGAGTAGAATATAATAGTTGGCTAAAATATTTTTAAAAATTCTCAGAAGATTATAAGGATAAAGGCAGATCAATACAAAAAGAATTCATTCAATCTCAACTAAATATCCAGGAGGAAGTGTTTAAGGTAGAAGAAATACAAAATTGTATTAAAAAACTTAAAGAGAAGTCAACACCTGGATCCAATCTGATACCTTAACTATATAATTAAAAATTTTTTCAGGAATTAATTAAATATTTAACTAGACAATTTAATGGGTTTTATAAGCTAGGTATTGTACCAGAAAAATGGAACAAAGTAATATTTACAATGATATATAAATATGGAGAAAGAGATAAGCCTTTGAATTATTGCCCAATAGCACTATTATCAGGATTATGGAAAATATTTACTGTAATACTGGCTTCCAAATTTAACAATTGGATAGATACCAATAATTATAGAAATGCTACTCAATATGCATTCATTGAAAATGGAGGCACTCAGGTTGCATTAGTTCAGTTACAACTACTTAAGAAGAGAGAAAAACTATTCGCCTTGTTCTTAGATTTAGAAAAAGCTTATGACTCAATTAGTATAATAGACTTACAAGTTAAGATGAAAAAATATAATGTGTGTGATCATTTAATAAGAATGATAGGATTANATTTAACTAGACAATTTAATGGGTTTTATAGGCTAGGTATTGTACCAGAAAAATGGAACAAAGTAATATTTACAATGATATATAAACATGGAGAAAGAGATAAGCCTTTGAATTATCACCCAATAGCACTATTATCAGGATTATGGAAAATATTTACTGCAATACTGGCTTCCAAATTTAACAATTGGATAGATACCAATAATTATAGAAATGCTACTCAATATGCATTCGTTGAAAATGGAGGCACTCAGGTTGCATTGTTTATCCTATAAGCATTAGTTCAGTTACAACTACTTAAGAAGAGAGAAAAACTATTCGCCTTGTTCTTAGATTTAGAAAAAGCCTATGACTCGATTAGTGTAATAGACTTACAAGTTAAGATGAAAAAATATAATGCATGTGATCATTTAATAAGAATGACAGGATTACTTTTTGGGCAATACAAAACAATCATTGAACAAGAGGATGTTCTGTGGCCATGCTTTAAAACAAGTAGAGGACTATTGCAAGGGGATCCGTTGTCTCCACATTTATTTAANTAATCAAAAGACGAGATAAGATTAACGAGAACATTTATTAGCTTACATACATCTGACTTGGATTTTACACACATTGAGAAATTATACCCCGACTTACGCAAATTCGACTTATGTGGTTATCGCTCAGTCCCACCTATCGTGTAAGTTCGGGGTATTACTGTATAGATACTGGAAAGTGTTTAAAAGTTAAAATATTTACAGTAAACTTGATGTAATTTTTATGTTTCCTCCATTTTTTGTAATTTTGATCATAGAATTTACAATATATTTATTTTGGGTAGTGAATGCATTTAGGTAATTTGTTTATGTATTTGATATATGTAATTATGTAAATGTAACTTCTACCGAAATTATACTAAATATATAGGCAAAAACAAAATTTAAATAAAATATACTAGAAACATTCTAACTATTTTGGATTTCGTCTAACTAACTCCATTCTTGAGATTAAGGAAAGACAGACGTATGGACGACAGTGGGAATTTATAGGTCTATTTTTTCAAATTGCAGCTCAATGAGATGGTTGGAGCACTGTCTGAGTTGTAAACTACCCATAGGAGTAAAAATATTTTAAATTATAGCAGTTGGAATTTTCTATAAGGTGCTGTCTATTTATCACATATACAGTTTAAGGAAGGGTCACAAAAAGTACATCATTGTACACAATANAATTTTGCTAAATTATATATAATTTTTATTAGTGTTTAAAAGTTTTCTCAGTTTTAAAAATTTAATTATTAAAAGTTTAAAGATAATTTTTTTATATAATGTAAATAATATATTTTACTTTTTAAAGTTTGTTTTTACCATAAAATAAATATTTATGATGATAAATATAATCCTTTACTAATTGTATGTATGTATTGTTTAGATGCTTTAATGGCTTTTTAAAAATAAAATTTGAAATTCATGTTAATGATTAAACAATATATACGTACATGTAGTTTTATATCCATCATTTCTGTAGGAGTTATACAAGACGGATCGATAATGGGTTTTGGTCTATCTTGTTGCGATGGAATTAGACTCGCCCACTGCGGCGGCAACCCAACAAACTTGCGTTCCTTCTCATCAAATCCAGTATGCACTCTGTGCTCAAAATTTATTGGAGCAGATATGACAGGCCTTTTCTTTTTTCTACTAAACATGATTGAAAGACTGAAAAAATATTCATTATTATTGAATAGTGACGAATTGGTCAACTTAACATCGTATAGTCTTAGCAATACTTGTTTGGATATGAGAATAAAAGACAAATGATTTCCTTCACAAATGCAAAGCTATCATATATGCTTAAAAAGGATATGTCAGATAATCTGCCTAAATACTAGAAGAGGAGGAGACAAATTTCCTTAGAGGATTCAGGCAGCTAAATAAATCTGCCATCCTCTTCAATAAGGTGACCAATCATCCTCGTTTTGTAAGTTCTGTCCTCCCTCGGAAAGTGTCCTCCTACATGTCCTCCTTTTTGATATTTGA